GCCATGCTGTGGTAGGCATCCCACATATCAAGTACAGGAAGATGGGCACGGTTGTTAGCTCAGGGCCAGTCTTCCTCAGCAAAAAGAGGAGGATTGGCAGCAGTTAGCTCAAGGCTAATCTTCCTAAAAAATAAATGAATAAATAAATTGTAACTCTCAGGATAGTCTTTTGTTCTAATATTTGTCAGAGCCCTTCAAAAGCATAGGATCACCTGTGGTGCTGCAGGCAGGTCATTTCACTTTTTGGGGATCTAATTTTTTATCCAGAAAATGGGAGGATTGAGCTAGATTATCTGTAAGATCCCTTCTTCATGTATTAGTCTGTCATTTTTTAAATGCTACGGGAGTTCAACACATAGATGTTTGTCACGAACCTCCTTCTGCTCCTTAGCTGGACTTGGCTCTGAGATATAAGCTTAGCTCAGAGCTGGGCCCCTAGCCACTGAAGGCATGCAGGCTGACTGTCACAGGTACCCTGGCTGGGTGCCAACACTATGCTCTTCCGCCTCACCCCTCAACCTCTCACCTCCATCCCCCAAATACACACATTCACTCCACACTTTTGCAGGTCTAAGAAGGTGCTGAGGGCCACTCTCTGTTCTCAGAGTCAGCACAGTAGATTGACTCTCTTTTGACAGGTCAAAAGCATAGAGGTAAGAAACTTAATATCTAAACTCCACACAATTAAATCACATCTTAATTATAAAATTGCTTTCAAAAGTTGTAATAGCTTTACAAGAGTAATGATATTTTTTTTCCTTTTCCTCCCAAAGCCCCCCTGGTACATAGTTGTGTATGTTTAGTTGTGGGTCCTTCTAGTTGTGGCATGCTTTTTAAAAAATATAGTGATATCTATCTCTTTGGAAGTACGTATACCACGGCTTAACAAAGATGTAGGTCACATAACATTTACCCCAGGATACCAATCTGAATCCTGTGGGTGAATAGGCACTTTGTACGAAATGTGGGGATTATTCTTTAGTACTCCTCTGTTTTTCTCATAATTTGCATAATTATAATCTGTTATTCTAAAACTGTCTTCTCTGAACTGGAAATATATACATTTCATGAAAAAAATCTGAATTTGATACAAAACTCCTTAATAATATTTCTAGTGCATAAAATGAATTAGAATTTTCTGAAAATATTGACAGTTTCCAAATTAAAAAGTGCTGTACGAATAGATGTAAGTAACCAGTAGTACCACGAGAGGACCATATGTAGCAGCCTTCTTCCCAACCAAGGCCAACAGGGACAACAACAGCAAAGTTCAGTGAAACTTCTTTGTGAGACATTATAAAGCATACTGTTTTTAAGCAACATTACTTTTTATGAGAAAAACTATGGGCAGGAGTCCAGACTTTGGAATCAGATAACCCAGAGTTTTAAATCCTGGTCCAACATCTTACTAGCTAGGTGTCTGTAAGCAAAATACTTAACCTCTCTACATATAAATTTTCTTCTTTGTAAAATAAGGTTAATAATACTACCTTGCAATATTATTGAGGATTAGATGTAATAATATAGACAAAGTCCTTACCACTGAGTAGGTGTTGAAGAAAGGGTGGCTATCATTAATAATATGATATTTATGTTACAGAAAGAAAGCATAATTTTCTTTTCATTCATTTGGAGGGCAATTTATTAATTTTTTTTACAAAGCATCTTATTTATGTTGATTATGTATGAGGTTGGAAACATCATGAGCAGGAATGAGTTAAAATGATTTCTCCTTTTAATTAAAAAGAAATCAATAACATCATGGGAATGTTTAATTTCTTCCAAAGAGAACACTAGACAATCAATAGCATTTCTTGATATGGATGCTGCACAAAACCAGTCCTAACACAGTGAGCCAGACAAAGGTAACAGGGCTCAGGCCAGAAACCTCCTGGTTGACTGGAAATAGACCTAGAAACAACTATGATTAGACACCCGGCCACATCCTTGCACTGTGGATTTGAGTAAAGTTTGCATGAGGGAGTAAGTGAACCCCCAGAAGTATCCTCATCTCTTCTACCAAGTCTCAGTCATTTTATGTTTCAGTGTAATTCCTAACAGAGAGATGGTAACAGTGGTGGAAACAAAATGTCGATTGCTATTTTTTATTGAACCAACATCATCATTACTAATTAATACTTAATTAACTATTCTTGTTCTTGGCTCTCTTTTAGCCAAATAAATTATCCCCATTTGACTCTACTTGCTAGAATTTTACTGTTTAATAGAGCTGACACAGACACGGATTGATAACAACAAACTGAATAATAGATAAACTAGATAAATACAATAAACTAGGTACATACAAACAACAAAGTGAATACTAGTAAATATTAAATAAACACAGGGTAGCAAAAAGCCTATCGATAATGATTAGTGATGTGAGACAATGGAAAGAAAGTTGAATTCAAAGAGAAAAATTTACGAGTTCTCATCCCAGCTATCCCTCTAGTGCTCTGTGTGACCCAGCATAAATCACCTTCTCTGGGCCTCAGGACCTTTGAGCCTACTCTACATTCTAATATGGGGAAATGCTCATGTTACATAGTCCATGACATTCACCGGGGGCTCCTCTGCCTTCTATTAACTATATTCCTCCTTTTAAAATCATTTTAGTATCAATTCCTAACCCCAGATTCATGTGTAAGTGGAGAACGCTTCCCTCTTTCTCTGTTTCCTCAATAAGAGCCAGAATATCCTGTTTTTGGCAACACTTTGATTTTAAGGCTTTGATTGCTGTTAAATTACCCTGGGAATGGGTAAATTTTTAAATAATGAGACACTGCCATTTCAGCAAAATTGTAAAGGGGAAAAAGCAGCAAGCTTTATCTTATAGCTCCCCTGATGCCCTGTGGTCGAGACTATCAAGCTGTCTCCCCTACCTGTTCATCTCTTCTTGTGTAACAGAATTCCCAGTTTTCAGTTGGGCACATGTTCACCCAGAATAGGGACTACATTTCCCAGCCTCCCTTGAAGCAAAGTATAATCACAAGATTAAGTTCTAGGCGCTGTAATATAGGAGCACTGGTGCACTTAAAGGGATGAGAAAAATGCCCTTCTTCATCCTTTCTTTCTTCTTGCCAGCTAGAATATGGATGTAAGTGCTGGAGCTCCAGCAGCCATATGGTGACCTTGGGAATTAAATTCATAGATGGTGACCTGATTTCAAGCAAAGCTAAAGTGCTCTTGATCTGACTTTAGGAGGATAATTAGCTCAAGTCCACTTTTGTTTAGCTGATTCTTGGCCAGCTTTTTTGACTCCTTCCACTCGCTTAAATACCCAACTAAAGGAGAAGAAACAGGACAGAACTAAGTTCGCCAAAACCTTTCACCACTCCAGTTTTTTTCGGAGGTCAACTTTCATGGGTTCTTCCACAGATAAAAAACATACTAGAAAATTGAGGAGATATATCATTTTAGTAAAATGTTAAGAAGGAAGGAACTTCTCAAAGAGTAGTAAATCTATAACGGTTCAACATTTGTAATATTTAAACATGTTCTGTGACATCAGACTCTTTGAATTTTGAGAAATTCAAAAGGTGATGATAGTACAAAACTTACAAGAAAGTCTTCTGAAGAAAGGGAAGCTCTAAGCAGCTGTGCAAATTTTTATTATTAAATGCCAAATAATTATATACATACAAGTGTCGCTATTACATTACTGGTACTTCTTGTGGAAAAGAATCATAAAGAGATGCACCTTTACCTAGTTCCCAATAAAAAAAAGTGCAGAAGTCTGACTTCAAATAATCTGCTACCATGAAGCATATTGATATTAGATTCCCTTTTACCTTTTAATTTTATTTGTTATTAGCGAATTTAAATGAAATTGCTCTCACCATCACATTACCTCAAATATGAGAGGAGCGTTGCTTTTTTTTTTTTTGGAGGAAGATTAGCCCTGAGCTAACATCTGCTGCCAATCCTCCTCTTTTTGCTGAGGAAGCCTGGCCCTGAGTTAACATCCATGCCCATCTTCCTCTACTTTATATGTGGGACGCCTGCCACAGCATGGCTTGCCAACTGGTGCCATGTCCGCACCCAGATCCCAACCAGAGAACCCCCAGCCACCGAAGCAGAACATGCGAATTTAACCTCTGCGCCACCAGGCCAGCCCCAGACAGGAGCATTTTAAAATGTATTTTCTGAGTAGTTATAAAAACTATTTCTCTGTGTGATATCACATTACATTATCACGGACTGCTACATTAGAAGACAGATCTTAGATGTTTCAAAAATGAAAAAACACAAAATAACCTAAAATTAACAAGATATCTTAAATACATATTGTTGCAGGAAGTCAACCTGTGATATTTTTGAGGTTTGTAACTTTGAAAAATTCTTACATGTAAATTCTTTAAGACAGCGTTTCTGGAATGATAGCAAAGGACCACTCACATCAGAATTGCTGGAGTGTTCATTTAGAATGGTAATTCCCAGACGCCTCATCACATCTAATGAATCACCATCCCTGCGCATGCCTTGAGAATACGTGTTCTAAACATCCTTCCCTAAGAGATTTTCAAGCACAGCTAAGTTTCAGAACTTCCGTTCTACTGCTTTGTCTAATGCAACGACGTTTCAAGCTGATTCAAGTTATTACTTCCAAGCTTCTGTGCCAGTATCGAATTCATCCTTTTCCCACTCTGCCTCCAACCATGATCATTTTGACCTCGTGCGAAAGGCAGGGATCATTACCGGACTGATTAACGTTTTCTCTTAAGGGGAGAAGGGTGTCTCCAGATAGGTACGGAGAACATGGATAGTCACACATGTTAGTCAATTGAGGGGAAAAGATAAGTGTAATAAAAGTACAGTTCGGAGGTTTCAAAATCATTTTTGAACTAGTGTGGGAGTACGATTGTAATGTAAGGAATGATGCTGTGTTAAAGGAAGGACAGGATAAATTAGTAAAGGTCTCCTATCTCATTCTGTGACGGTGCTTCTGGGCTCTGGTGATGAATGTGTTCATGTTATGCGACTTGCTTTGGGTAAATAACCCAGTGCCGTATCTGCTCTCCAGCCCGCAGCCGGCAGCGGCTGTGTGTGCGCGCTAATGACGGTGGAAGGTGCCTGGGGGAGGGCCTGGGGAGGGGCTGCCCGGCGCAATCGCGCCCCTGGCACTTCCTAACAGACTCAGCCCTTTCTCTGCAGCTGCCACTTGAAGACTCCACACTTTCCCCCCAGAGGAAAGGAGCCATCTATCTAAATCAGCTGTACTCTCCACATCCCTCGTTTCTCCCTCCGCCAACCGCCACCCCCACCCCTTCCATTGTGTTGTGCCTTTAGCTCCGCTTCCTGCGTAAGACCCTAACCTCATTTGTGGCAGGAGGGATTACTGAGAATTTCGGAACCTCGAGTTTCAATGGAGCTGTACGGAAAGGTAAGCAGAAGGGAGTTCCTCTGCATGCTCTTCGCGAAATCTCGCTTTGACGGACTTTGAGATGTGTGTGTGTGTGCGCGCGCGTCTTCTCAATGCAATTGTGCGAGTAAACCACTTTCTTTATGTGTGTCCTAGTCATCGTCTTTCTTCTCTGCGATTGTTCAATGAGATTGTAAAACCACCCCACTCAGCCTATGGAAATGCATAAACTTTCCAGATCCGGGATGGGGAGGTGTAGGACGGGGAGAGTCCTAGAACGCAGCGCAGGTTTCGTTTGTATTGGGAATTAGCACAAGCTAGAGCGTTTCCTAACCAGGAAATCACAATCTAGCGTCGGAAGGCGATAGGTAGCAAAGAAAAATCTCCAGCTGAGATGAGCTGGGGTCCCTTTCGCCTGCACCTTGCGAGGAAACGGGCTGGGAGGCTGAGATGGGTAACGACCGGCAGCGATTCCCAAGGAGGAGAAGGGAGGCTCCCCAGCCGGGTCGAACAGGAGGAGACAGCCTGTTTAAATGTCGGCGTGCCGGGAGATGTAGTTCACGGCTCTCCAGTTTGTAGGAAAGCTCCGCCGAACGAGACTACAAGTCCCAGGAGCTCGCGGGGCTCCTGGCCAGTACGCTTGTGCGGCTCCAGGCTCTGGGACAGCTCCGGTGCTGATGTTGGAGCCGGTTTGCGAACCCCAAGAGCGCAGAGTGTGGAGCGTGGAACGCGCGGGCTGTGCACGCTTGATCGGGCGCCCGGGCCAGCGCTGTTTTAGCCAACGAGAAAGAAAATTTGGGGAACAATGAGACACGAAGCTCCCATGCAGGTGGGTCTATACAGAAAGTGTGGCCTCGGGAGGAATTGAGAGAGATGCTTTCTACCTCGCTTCAAGCACAAACTGTAAGGGACCTAGGGGATGGTCTAGGCGGCCACCCGCGGAGATACGGCTCTGACTCGGTCCTGGGGACAGAGTTGGGCTGTGATTGGAGCTATCTTGATGAAGGATAGGGGTATTCATTATCTTCCCAGGCTCCGCGAGGAGAGTGAGAGTGCTCCGTCTAAAATGTAAATCCGAGCAAACAAAAGTCAGAGGAACATGCAGTGTCTCGTATTGGCATTGATCTTCCCTCCTGGCTCCCCTGGTTTGTGATCACAGTGCAAACGGATGGACTTAAGGCCAGGTTCGAGGCCGCGAGCTCTCTACTGGAGTCTGGATAGAGCAAATTCCTCGTGACTAAGAGCGCGTTAAGAAAGGAGAAGCCAATGTTAGGGTCCCCCAAATACTGGTTATTCAAGTAGGATCCTAGCAGTGTCAGCGGAAAATAGCAAACACATTGGGGGTTGGCTCATCCCAGAAGTATGCCAGCCCTTGGTCGCTGTCCACACAACTGGTTTACTCCTGCGTTTCGAATAACCCCTTTGGGCTATCTTGAGTGATGTGCCCATTTGTTGTACGTTCTGATTCCCCATTTCAGTCACATTCTTAGCTTTGCTTCCTTCGACTCCAGTGCAAAGGTGTCTCTGCCTAAGCATCTTGCTTAAGTTTTGTTTTCAAGTGAAGATAAGGGATGCTCTCTCGTTTCTATGTATGACTAGTTAACTCTAAAGATCAGCCTGTGTGCATTAACGAAGCAGAGCGATCCCATCGCGTAACAGAAAGGCACTTTATGAATGGGATTGCGAGGAGAAAGGAACACACCATTTGGAACATGTTGTCTCTCTTGAGAACCCACTTCTGCTGCCAAATGCAACAATATAAATATTTGCCTTTAATTCTTGCTTGTACTTTTTCCAACTGTTTTCTTCATGAATCAAGGACTTTAAACATATGCTTCGATTTACTGTTAATTTATTGTATGAGTTATATATATTATTAAGATAGACACTGACTGGACTGTTAAATGAAAAAAAAAATCTGTAGAATTTAATTGTTTGTTGAAGGATTATATAATGGAAGCCCTCAAATAACCTTGAGTTATTGAAAATTTGAATTGTTCCAGACAACAGTGGCCCCATTGTGTATCTTCTAATACCCCTGTTTGTGACTTAGCTTTTCATTATAGACCTGACGTGAAAAGAATCTGGACAGACAATAAAGGCACAGGCTCTTGCAATCAAGATATATTGGCTTATGATAATTTTCCATCACTGGAGGTACTGCCAGGAGCCAACTGGCTAAGTTAATCATATTCTATTATAAGTAAACATTGACAGTAGACTTTAAAAGTAGATCGTTGGTATTTAAATCAATCCTATATATGCACTGAAGTCTTTCTGTCAAAATAAACTACCAAAAAATTAATCATTCTGCATCTTAACTTTTATTTTCTTACAAGAGTTGCTTGGAATGTTCAGAAGGTCACTAAAATGTTACAGAACTGTATGAAATTAATGCCTTAGGAAACATTTTAAATTATTTAGAAATATTTTAAAATATTATAAAATATTTTGATTTATTTAGATAAATTTCATGTCAACTGTGTAATAGGCACTGTAATTCCATATTTTCGTCAGAACTTTAATGAAGAATAAATATGAAAGTAGGTAAAATTAATTTGCTTGTGGATAGATTTATTTTCATATTTATGGTGTAATTTATTCATTGGACTAGCTTTTTGAAATTTAAATGCCCAAATGCTATCATGAATAACATGTACATTTTAAGAAATGAAAGACTATTTTCTGTATTATATATAATTAAAACATTCATTGATTCAATTTAATGAGTAAATTGTTGTTATAGTGGCCCCCTCTCCATTATTATCAGGTTTTCAAACATCTATAATGATAGAAAGAATAAAAACTATAAACATGCTATATATTTTTCAAGTGGCAAGTCATGTCTCAGTGCCCATAGTTGTGAATCATAGTCACATTCCAGGTGACTTTGATATATGAAAATTCAAAAAAATAAATAGTTGACATTTCTTTTTTTTTCACTTAAACATTGAACCACATCATCACTTTAAATATATGTCCCCAAATTTTTACTTAGGTTTCTAGAAAATGAGTCACAAGCAAAACCTCATTCTATAGTTTCATTATCCTAGGGGATTCTTTTCCCCACTTAAAAATATTTAGTTCATTTGTTGATGTGAAACACAATGAGCTCTCTAATGGTTGATTTTCTAATTTATTTATGATATTTTCTTAAATCAAAGAAGCCTTTTTAAAAATTACGTAGTGTCTTTTAAAAGCACTTGACATGCCTATATAAATAGCTTGCTGTTCTGTTCAAGGTAGTTGTCTTTGATGTATGCATGTTTTCTGAAGAATATTTCTCTCTGAGTTGATGCACAATGAGGGATAATAATAGTTGTTTTTACAGTGACTATTAAAATAATATACAATGACAGTCTTGGATGTCTGTATTTCCTTTTTAGCTAAATACCAGGAATAGCATTTGGTAAGTGTTCCAAATGATGGGTTCGAATTTTAATGCAGGAGGTGGTCGTTTGTGTTTTTTCATTCAGTGCGTCCATAAATCCTGAGGGCCAAAAGAAATGAGAGTAGCAGTGCTCATGACTTGGGGCAAGACTGATGAACGAATTATCATTTGATTCAGGAGCCGGATTGAACAAATTCTAGTTTATCTACTGCTTTGTCTGTGCCAAGCACTGTGCTTTGCATTCAGATCTCATTATGTGTGTGTGTAAAATATAAAACAGTTCTAGAGGTCACCATTATCCTAATTACAGAAAAGATAACTGGAGCTTATTAAGATTAAATAACTTTCCCAACATGGTAGCCTCAAAATTCGGCCAGATCTCTGTCTAGAAAGGCCATCCTCTTTCTTCTCTTACTTTGGGTTCCCCAAGAAGACACAAAAGGGAGGTGTAAAGAATGAGGGCACTATGGATATAATTTGATTATTTGTTTGGTTCAGAAGAAACAAACTTGGTTAAGAAGAAAGAAAAGATTGTCTCTATTTTCTGTTTATAAAAATAAACTTGTGTCACCTGAACCAAGGCCAGCCCTAGTGGTCTAGTGGTTAAGATTCTGTGCTTTCACTGCCGCAGCCCGGGTTCGTTTCCCAGTCAGGAAACCACACCACTCATCTGTCGGTTGTCATTCTGTGGCAGCTGCTTGTTGCTGTGATGCTGAAAGTTATGCCACCAGTATTTCAAATACTAGCAGGGTCATCCATGGTGGACAGGTGTCAGTGGAGCTTCCAGACTAAGACTAGGAAGAAGGACCTGGCCACCCACTTCTGGAAAAATTGGCCATGGAAACCCTTTGAATAGCAGCAGAGCATTGTCTGAAATAGCAGATGGTGCAAAAGACCAGAGACCAGGCAGGGTGCAGCTTTGCTGTGCTGGGAGTCGGAATGGCACCAACAACAAGAACTAAACCAAAAATTTGAGGAGGTAAAAGTGGAATCCATTGTCTCTGGCTTAGTCTTCAATTTTGTTATCCATGAGCTTTCAGGGTCATCTCATAAATGCAGAGCCTTCTCACTATTTAGGAAACTTCAAAGAAAAACATCTACCCAAGGCCTGGAGCAGAGTGCCATAAAAAGGTTGTTTGGCTAAAACTGAGGAGGATTGAAGAAAGAATATAGATGTAGGCTGAAGATGAAGTTGAGATGAAAACCATAATAGATATTAAATAACCATGCTGTATACAAAAACAACTTACAAAGAATTAAAGTCCAAATATATCATTGTTTCATTTGGCTGTGGAAAGTACATGGTATTCTTGCACTTTGTTGTTTTGAATTCCTGACCCTATCCAACCTCAGTTTGGTTCCTTTATCTTTATAAGAAATGGAAATTTACTCCTCGTCTCTTATATAAACAGAGAAACCCCTTGTTGAACATTGCAGAAACAAGAACTTTCATACTCCGTTTGACCAAAGTCATGAAGTATTTACTTTTCTTCTGTAAAGGAAAGTGGAGGATAGAGAAGGGGGATTACCCTATAGTAAAAATAAACTTATGTGGTGTAAAAATAATTTTCCATTTCCACTTTTTCAGTCCAGGAAGTTGTAGATTTATTACATGATGTAACCACAATTT